CTGCCAGCAAGTCAAATCCAACTCATACAGACCCCTTCTTGGGTTTCTGAGGTGGTATCTCTATGGAAGTAGATTGCCCAGTCTTCCCAGGAGTGGCTGGTGGGTTTGAACTAGCATTCAAATGCCTTAGGCACTACACCACCACAACAGCATGGATAATAGCAAACTGGAGTAAAAAATTAAGTGATACAGTTTGAGTATGCTTTACCTTTGTTTTTAATATGTGTTTATATATAATGTATTTGTAAAGTTTTTATAATTTAATGTTTTATAACAGCTATATTTTACAATAACCCACTGCCATCAAGTCAATTCCAACTTGTAGTGACCCCCATTGGGTTTCCAAGACTGTAAATCTTTACAGAAGCAGACTTTCTTCTGTAGATCAGCTGGTGAATGTTAATCACTCATCTTTTGATTAGTAGCCAAATGCCTTAACCACTACACCAGAACTTAAAATTTATCTATCAGGTATTGTGAGCTGGGACCAGTTGGAGCTGACTCCAGCACACTTCTGGATATGAGGTAATGGGAGGAAGAAACAGTATGCTTACTTTTATAAACATTTGTTTCCAGTAACTGCAAATTAAGCTGCAACAACCAGTTTTTCAAATTGTCAATGAATCAGAAGTATGACAAATAAAATCTTTGGTAGCGTAGTGACTAAGGCACTTAACTGGTAACCAGAAGCCTGGTGGTTCAAACCCACCAGCCACTCCTCAGAAGCAAGGATGGGCAATCTACTTCTGTAGTGATGCTGCCTTGGAAACCGAAGGAGGTGTCGCTATGATTTGGGTCCAACTCCACGGCACATAACAATAACAACTATCAATTACAAATGGCGTAGGAAAAAAAAAGAGAAAAACTAATAATAAAGAATTAGTCCCTAAAGTTAGGGAGCTCTGGTGGCATAGTGCCTAAAGAATTTGACTATTAACCAGAAGGCTGGCAGTTCAAACCCACCAGCCACTCCTCAGAAGGAAGATGGGGCTATCTACTTCCATAGTGATATCACCTCAGAAACCCAAGAAGTAGTCGCTATGAGTCAAATCATCTCGACAGTGGTGAGTTTTTTGTTTTTAATAATAAAGTTAGCATTAAAAATGATCATATATTGGGTAATATAGCAGAAAATCTGTTGAACAGAGTTCCACAGGGGACAATTCTAAGTAGAAAATAGTCAAAATAAAAATTGGAGAAGGACTGCCTCTATATGAATAATACTGAAGATGACTTGGTAGTCACAGGATGAGAATTTGAATACAAGATTAAAGTGTCATTAAAAAACAAGCATGGCACTTATACAAGACTTTACATCTTCCTCAAAAACCAGAAAACGGAACCCACTGTCAATAAGTCTATTCTGACTCATAGCAACACCCACGAGGTTTCCAAGGCTCTAAGTATTTGTGGAAGTAAACTGCCCCGTCTTTCTTCCATGGAGCAGCTGGTGGGTTCGAACCACTGATTTTGGGTTAGCAGCTGACTGCCTTAACCACTACACCACCAGACCTCCTAGTTATCAGGACATCCCTGACTCATTCCACCCAAGGGTAAGGGTACAGTTCTCAACTCAAAAAAGAAGGAAATGATACAGAAAATTTATAAATGACTCCATCATAGAATTAACAGGGCCCCTGAAATAGCAGCTTATGGATCTGGAAAAAACAAATAAAATTAGGAGTTTATTTCGGAGATTTTTTGTTGTTGTTGTTAAATAATAATTTTCTGATATTAAAAATTTAACTAAAGAACATATATCTTTCTCTGCACTTACATTTTCTGATATTCCTTTTATTGGTTATTAAACTAGACAATAGAATTATACCAGAGAGTCAGGAAGGGCTGAGATTACCTTGAAAGAATTTCTCAATGGTGATGGCTGTTAAGGAGCTCTGGTAGCATAGTGCCTAAGGCATTTGACTGCTAACCAGAAGGCTGGAGGTTCAAACCCACCAGCCACTCCTCAGAAGGTTGGATATCTACTTCCATGGTGATACTGCCTTGGAAGCCCAAGGAGGGTTGCTCTGAGTTGGATCCGACTCGACAGAAGTGAGTTGGTTTTTTTGGTTGATGGTTGTTAAGTACTTTAAGCCCTGGTGGTGCTGTGGTTAAGGCTTGCCTTCTAACCAAAAGGTCAGCAGTTCAAACCCACCAGCCAATTTCTCCATGAGAAAAAGATGTGGCAGTCTGCTTACATAAAGATTTACAGCTTTGGAAACTCTGTGGGGCAATTCTACTTTATCGTACAGAATCACCATAAGTCAGAGTCAATGTGACAGTATGGGTTTGTTTTTACTTTCAAGTGAAGACTATGGCTGTTCTATCTGAAGGACAAGAGGTGAATATGATTCTTTTCATGTTCTGGTCTTAGAGTAGAAAGTCTATTCTCCATAGATCCTATGGTAGAACCCAGGGCCATGAGCTTCATTAGACATCGTCAATGGCACCTGAGTCACTACATTTCCATATCCATCACAGAAGCGCTCTCCGTGTAACAGCTTTACTCTTGTATGACTTGAAGAGATGAGGAAAGGAGATCTGCGAAAGAGAAGTAAACAAGGGTGAAAATAAAGAGACAGAGACAGGATTAGGTTATAACAGTGAAAGACCTTTTGAGCTAATGAAATGCATCAAAAGAGAATGGATACAGTTCATATTATACAGAACAAAATAGACATCTTCCCCCTAATAGAGAGAGTTTGTTTAAATATTTATCTAGAAGAGATACTACAAAATATAAGCTGTGGGGGATAAAAGGAAGGTGATTCTTTCCTTTCCTTTAAGGAATCTTTGAACAATTTAGCATGTAGTTAGTAGTATTTTGAAAACTTAAATCCTCATTGCCCCCGTTCCTCTCAGCCCCCAAAACCAGTTTTCCTAGTCTTTCCTATTCTAATGGCAACATCTTTAAGCCAAAAGACTAGGCATCAACCACTCCTATCATACCCTGTATTCAAAAATCCAAACATTTGCCAGCATAACCACCAATAACCCTGTGGTCCAAGCCATCATCAATATTCTCCTTTCCCTGCTCCCATTCTTGCCCTCCTACTATCTGTTCTCAACTCACCTAAGTGATTCTCCTAAAATGTTAGTCAGAAACAGCCACTCTTCTGCTCAAAACCCTCTAGTGATTTCTCATCTCAGAACCGAAGCCACATCATGGCCTACAAAGCCCTGCATCTGATCCACTTCTGTCTCACTGACCACACCTCTTACCACTCTCTTCCTTGCTCACTGTATCCCAGTCACACGGAGCTTCTCTCTCTTTCTTGAAAATGCTAAGCACATTACAGCCTCAAGGACATTGAGGACTATTCCCACATGCCCATGAGACTTGCTCCCTTACTTCCTTTAAATCTCTGCTAAGCAACAGGTCATCAAAGCGGCCCTCTATGATTACTCCATCTCAAATAGCACCATCCCTATCACTCTCCATCCTGCCTATACTGCTTTGTTGGGCTTAATTGTGCTCTTTACCACCAGGCATATTGTATCCATTTATATTGCATTTCCAATTACAAGATTATACTTTCACAGCAAAGGGATTTTGTCTTGTTCACTGATACATTTCTGGCACCTGATCAATTATCTGGCACTTAGTCAAAATAGACTCTCAATAAACCAGAAGTTGGCAAACATTTTCTGGAAGGGTCACACAGTAAATATTTTAGGCTTTAAGCAGCACACAGTCTCTGGTATAATTCTCAACTTTGCCTTTTTTGTGCAAAAGCAGCCGTAGACAAATGCCTAAATGATTGAGCATGGCTGTGTTCTAATAAAATTTTATTGATGGAAACTGAAATCTAAATTTGGCATAATTTTTACATATTTTGAATACTATTCTTTTGATTTATTTTCAACCATTTAAAAATGCTAAAACCATTCTTAGCACAAAAACTATATAAAACTGGTGGTGGGCAGATTTGGTTCACGGGCTGTAGTTTGATTACCCCCAAAAGGAACAGTCGTCGAATGATCAGATGAATAAATAACTTAGACAGATGTTCAATGAACAATCACTGAGTGAATGAGAGGATGAATGAATGCACATTGACGAATTGGAGCTCTTTTGAGAAGACATGCAGCATGGTGCAGTAGGAAAATCAGCAACCTTTATATCAGAAGACAGACAGTAGCCTTGTTTCAGCTTCATCCTGAACAGAGAATTTCAGTTAATCTCACTGAATTCTGTTTTCTCTCTGGAAAGCAAGGACAATATTCTCTGCCTTAAAACATTACAACAGCAATACAAGATATTTTGATTCAATCGATATTAATTGAGCATCAACAATCATATGCCAAGAATGGCACTTACTCTAATTCAATACCATAAAACAAAATAAGAGAAAAACTACCATCAATCTATTCAACGCATGGAGGCCTCATGTGTGTCAGAGTAGAACTGTCCTCCACGGGAGTTTCAATGGCAGGTTTGTTGGAAGTAGACCACCAGGCCTTTCTTTCAAGGCACACCTGGGTGGACTCCAATCTAGAGTTGAGCACAGTGACCATTTCTACCAACCATAGCAATCCTCAAAAACATTCAAGGTAGAATTTTTTTAAAAATTTATATTCTATCAATTCAACTTACCCAGCTTGAGGTTAATTTGGTGTTTCCCCATACTACAGCTCCAGAGACTCCTAAAGCAATACTTTCACCAAGTGTATGCACAAGGTCACCCTGGCAAACATGATACAAAGAATTGTTGTTGTTGTTGTTATGTGCCATCAAGTTCCCCCTGACTCACAGCGACCCCTCCTTGGGTTTCCGAGGCAGTATCACTACGGAAGTAGATTGCCCAACCTTCCTTCTGAGGAGTGGCTGGTGGGTTTGAACCACCAACCTTCTGGCTAGCAGTCAAGTATCTTAGGCACTACACTACCAGAGTTCCTTACAAAGAGTTAGCAGGTGGGAATTAAATGGAAGTGTCATACACAGGGCAGTAACACCAAAGCAAGCATGTTGATCCAAGAATAATAATTTAATTATTTGCCTACTCTTTATTCCTGCCTTTTACACAGCCACTGTCTCACTGTAACAAAAGCATGCTTCATAGAACTGCTTTAGTGAATTCTATTGATGAGAGCAGGCCTGTGAAAGGAAAAAAAAAAAAAAGTCAATCTATTATCTCTCCTACATAACTTTTCATGATTGCTAAGATTTTATGTGATTGTATCAAAAATATACACATTCTTATTTTCCTTTCCTATAATGGGGTAGATCTACCTCTTGCACATTCCAAAATGATTTTAAAAGCTATATTTTGCTCCCTTCAAAACTGATGTTAAATTCCACTAAACATCATTCGTGGACACTATTTCATAGCCACCATCCCTTAACTTAACTTACCTGAGAAAGGTAATCCAAAGGCGCATCAGTGAAAACCGAGCGGGTGTATACAAAAACTGGAAGCGGGCTTTCAGCATTGCGTACTTGAGAAAGCCGAATGGATTCCTGAACACGATTCCGGACAAAGAGTGCAGCAAGGTCAGAAGACTTCAGGTAACTCTTCAAATAAATGGATGGGAAAAGGGCAGTGCTTTGCAGCCACAACCAGTTGAGTTCATCATTTCTTCTCTTTTCTATATCAGGGCAACTTCCATTGTAACCAGGCATTGTATAACGATGATTGTAACAATCAGGAAAAAGATAGTAACCCCACACGTGACTTGGCCGAAGCAGCTTTCCCAGTTTTAAAGTCTCTTGCATGAAACTCTTTGCTGCATTTTGAAAATTTACTTTAGCTATCTTGGTGGCCTCTATGACATTAAGTTGTATATTTTGTTGCTGAACGAACTCAATAGACACCTTCTTGTAGATATCTTTAGGTTTCCAGTTTCTTTCCCAGATGGGCCTCCAGTTTTCCCAATCAATGACAGCCAAGCCTGTTTGGTCTGTTGGTATGTAATAGGAAATGTCTTCCCTAGCTTTGGTCAAATGCTTCTCTAAGGACGCTGCCTGGGGAATGCCTCCATTCACACTTCTGCCAGTTTTTTCATCTATATAAGGGTAGTAGCCAAGCCTATCAACATAAAATATTGTAAGATTTTGCCCTGTAATGCCCCTTTGGGGGTTTCCTACTAAAGAAAAGAGGCTTATATCTAGGGGTACAGCAAACTTTGTAGAACAAAGGTCTGAAGGGACATTCCAGGCCCAGAGGAAAGTAACATCTGGGATTAGGGGTGGTGCTCTGAAATTGAGAGTCTGGCAACATGGAATCAGAAGGAAAGCGAACACTGCCTGGGCTGCTCCAGTGGACCCAACATGGCTCCCAAAGGAGAAGTGAGTGAACCCTGACACTCCCATTACAAAGAGCAACAGCTATGGGAATCACTTATTCCTTCCTATACACTTTGGTTTTGCCCATTATAGGGGGCAAGACATAAGCACAGAAGACAGAATGAAGTCACTTTGTTCGATAAAGAGGTTGAATGATCTTATCACATTTAAATATTCTTCTTCTTCTTTCATGTTTAGGAATATTTTTATAAATTGCAATGCAGCCACTTTGATGGATGAACAGATACAACGAGTCTATCACATTTAAATATTACTTTCTTCATATCTTAGGAATATTTTGCAAGTAGCTTCATCTACTACTGAAAAAAAGAAAAATAGAATATATTGTTATATTGCATTTCCATGTCAAAAACTATATGCTTTATCAAGTTCTCAACTTTAAGTGCAAGGAGTTTAATTCCATTTTAAAAGGCAGAGGGCCGGTTCTGTGAATCAATAAAATTACTTCCTCTTTTATATGATATAAATTCTATAACAACTAATATTTTTCTTGTCTTCCCAACTTGTCATTGAGCCTGCAGAGAAGCAAATGCAGCTGTTTTTCCTTTTGCCTTCCTAGATGAGTAAAACACTGCACCAAACCATGTTTTAGCAAAGCCTGTTGAATGAAAATTATCCCCAAATCTATCCTCTTATTCTTGATTGTCACTTCTTGAAAGACCACTGTTCAGTGGTCTGGTAAATATTGAAAACAATTTTTCATAGAATTGTGAAATCTCTTCTTTTTCTGTTATTTTTTCTTTTTCTTTTGAAGGGGGACTGATAAGGGAAGAAGCCAAACTCACTTCTTTTTCTTTCTTCTTTCTTTTTGCAGTTAAAAATTTGTATTTATATTTAATTCATCACATTTCTTATACAAAATGCAAGTTAAAAGGAAGATCTAGTTTAAAAGACCACACTGTTAGTTTCCATTTCATCAGTAAATAACAGCTATGCTAGATTCAGTTCAATAGCC